AGTGCCTGGGATTGTAAAGCCAAGGAAGGCCAGGAGAGGAAAAATCCTTTTGTATGGGGGAAATGGAAACGTTTCCCTGCCAGGTGAGCTTCCTTAACCCTTTGGGGTTTGTGGGTACAAATCCATGGGGTTTGGAACCTCTCAGGTGAGCTCCTTTAACCCTTTGGGGTTTGTGGCTACAAATCCATGGGGTTTGGCAGCTCCCAGGTGAGCTTCCTTAACCCTTTGGGGTTTGTGGGTACAAATCCATGGGGTTTGGAACCTCTCAGGTGAGCTCCTTTAACCCTTTGGGGTTTGTACCTGCCCCATGGGGTTTGGCAGCTCCCAGGTGAGCTCCCTCAGCCGTGGGGCCCCTGTGGTTGAGTCCCTGCCGTTCCCAGCTGCAATTCTGGACGCTGCAGCTTCTTAAACCTCAGCCCATCCCCACAAGGGTCGGGCAGAGCTCGTTCCTTGTGCCGGGAGCTCCTTCCCGAGCTGGAGCTGCTCCTGGGGTGGGGCTGGGGGGATTTTTGGGGGAAGGGAGGGGGCTGTGCTGGCAGCAGAGGTTCCGTGCTGTGCTGGCAGATTGGAGTTCCTGCCAGGGGAGGCGATTTCCAGGCTGGCTGCTTTGTCATTAGCAAAAATTGATTGGATTCATCCTCCCGGGACAGGAGCTCCCCTTCCCCAGGGAGGGGCAACGAGTGCCAGATTGCATCTCAATTATCAGCAGCACTGATTATTTATATGGATATTCCCCCAGATCCATTCAAAAGCTGGGAACATTCGTTTGGAATGATGTTTTTCGTCGTTTTTTTTTTTTTTTTTTTTTTCTTCGTGGGGCTGTTGAAATTGAGGCTGTTTTTCCAATTGTTGACTTTAATGAGGATTTGGGAACCCACTGGGGCTCAGCAGAGCGTGAGAACAGGAGCCACTTGAGCTGCACCCATCAATCTGTGCCTCGTCTGGGTGATGCCTCTTCCTGGAATTCCAGCGTTCCTGCTGCCCTGCCTGTTCCTGGGCACTTGGAGCACCCCCAGTCCCACTGGAAGGGGGTTTTTTTTGGTAGGAAAAGGAAGGTGCTGGTGGGTGCAGGGAGCCCACAGAGCAGGAATTCCATGGAATTTCAGGCAAGTGGAGCTGAGTGCAGGCTCAGAGGGATGGGAAGATGCACTTTGGAACAGCCAGGAATTCTTCCCAGATTTTCTGGAGAGAAAAATCCAGCTGGGATTGGCTCCTGGGGCAGCTCTGGGATAATTCCAGAGGGAGCCTGTGGGTGTGCTGCTCTCAGTGAGGGACACAGGTGACATTCTCAGGGACACAGGTGCCATCCCCAGGGCTCAGGTGCCATCCCCAGCCGTGGCTGCTGCTCTCAGGTTGTTTTTGGCTCTGTGGCCCCAGTTCAGCCCAGCCCAGTTCAGCCCAGTTCAGCCCAGCCCAGCTGTCCCCCTGCTCCTCCAGGCTGTGGAATGACAGCTGAAGCAATTCCACATTTCCAGGGTGGGAATTTTCCCTCCCAGCCTCGCCCTTTCGGGAGGGGACACTGCTGTCCCCTGGCTCTGGCTCACATGTCACAAACTCTGGAGGCAGCCAGAGCCAGGCTCCGAGAACACTTCGGTGTTTTGTCACCAGCAGAAGCCACCAAGGTGACAAAATCCAATGAAATCCAGGATTGTCAGCGTCTGGAATGAAATATTTCCCTGAAATATTCACGTGGGAGCTGCTGTGCTGCCTTGTCCCCGGCAGATCTCGGCTCTGGCACATTAAACCTGGCTGAGCAGTGGCCTGAGAAAGCATTTATGTGCTGGGAATGAAATTTTAAATATCTCTGATGGATTCAGGTGCTGTGGGGTCAGCAGAGCTCGGTTCCAGCAGGGTCAGCCCCTGCTTTTAGCTCAGGAAATTTGGGAGGGAGTTTTCTGCTTCCAGAGGAGCATTCCCAGGATTGGAGGAGTTTTGGGATGTTGGATAAGTTGATTTAATTCTTTCCAACCGAGTGGAATTCTTTAAAATGTCAATTTTAATTTTGAAAATGATTTTTTTTTTAAATGTTTAAAATTTCTTTATAAAATCAGGTGGAGGTTGAGTTGTCAGCTCCTGTTCAGCTGCTGCAGCTCCATGGGGTTGGAATGAGGATTGAGATGAGGATTTGCTTTTGGGGAAGGATGGAAAAAAAAGGAAAGGCTGGAAAAAAAGGAAAGGATGAGGATGAGGATGGGCTGGCTCCTGTGGGGGTTAAACCAAGATTAGGAATTTGCAGCATTTCCTCCCAAATTCCACCTGATTGCCTCAGGCAGAGCTGGAAAATCCCTGGAATCTGCTGATCCTCCAGCAATAATGGCAAAATGATATTTCCTGGAGGGACCTGGGCTTCAATCTGCAGGGGGGGAAAAAAAAATAAAAATTAAAACTAAATCTCTGAGTGGCAATGCTTAAACTCTTGGAGAAATCCAAACCTCGTTATGGGGGGATTAATTTCCCAGTAGGAATTGAACAGCTCTTCCAGGAACAGGATGAATAATGGATGAGACTTTGGGAGCTGGGAAAGCTCCCTGGTTTTCCTGAGAAATCAGGAATTTCCAGGGGAATCAGGAGGGGATCCCAGTGCAGATCCTGCAGGGTTTGGGAAGTGTTGATGCTTTGTTTTATCACGGGAGGAATTTTTTTTTTTTAATTTTTTTTTTGGGGATGAGCTCGGAGTGTTTGTGTTGGTACCCACAGCCCTGCAAAGGGATTCCTCAGCATCCCAAATTCTCCTTTTCTCACGGAAAAAAACTAAAAAAATCCTCCAAAACAAACAAAAAAACCCCCAAAAACCTAAAACAAACCAAACAAAAAAAAAAAAACCAAACCCCAAACCAAAACAACAACAAAAAACTGAACCAAAAAAACATAAAAAACCAACAAAACGCAATCAAACAAAAAACCCCCCAAATCTAAAATCTAAAAATTAAAAAAACCCCCCAAAACAATAAAAAACAAGAAAAAAAAAAAAGGGAAGAAAGAAAAAAGGCATTTCCTGCTGTTAAATCCACAATTCCTGCTGTTTTCCCCCAAATTCTGCAGGCTCTGACCTTGGCTCCTCTCACCTGCCCTGAAATCCCCGCAGGCACAGCTGGGGGGGTTTGGGGGCAGAAACTTTGGACAAAGCTGATTTAGGGCTGGATTTAGGGCTGATTTTAGGGCTGGTTTGGGCTCCTTGTGCCCTGATTTAGGGCTGGTTTTAGGGTTGATTTAGAACTGTTTTTAGGGCTGGTTTTAGGGTTGATTTGGGGCTGGTTTTGAGCTGTTTTTAGGGCTGGTTTTAGGGCTGATTTAGGTCTGATTTAGAGCTGTTTTTAGAGCTGATTTAGGGCTGGTTTAGAGCTGGTTTTAGGGTTGATTTAGGGCTGGTTTAGGGCTGGTTTTAGAGCTGGTTTTAGGGCTGGTTTAGGGTTGATTTAGGGCTGGTTTAGGGTTGATTTAGGGCTGGTTTAGGGCTGATTTAGGGCTGGTTTAGGGTGGATTTAGGGCTGATTTAGGGCTGGTTTTAGGACTGATTTAGGGCTGGTTTAGGGCTGGTTTAGGGCTGGTTTAGGGCTGATTTAGGGCTGGTTTTAGGGCTGGTTCTGCTCTGCCTTACCCCGTCCTTGGCTCCAGGCTCTGGGCTCGGGCTGGGAGCGTTGGGATCATCCTGGGAATTTCTGCTTCTCCTGCTGTTTCCAAGGCAACTGGGAAGTCACAAACGCAGCCCGGGGTGTCCTTCCCCCCTGAGCTGCTCCCCTGGCACACAGGGAAACGCTCCAGGGACATTTCCCACCTGTGGGGATGCTCACCCGATCCCCCCTTGGAGGATAAAATCCCCCCCAGTTTGGGTTCTGCACTCTGAACGTTCCCCCCACCTTGCTGGGAGGGGAGCAGGCTGCAAAGAACACCCCAAAAATAACAAAAAAAACCCCCAAAACAACCCAAACAAACAAAAAAACCCCCACAAAAAACAAAAATGGGGATTTTAAACCAAGGGGGAAAAAATACTGAGGGTTTGGTGTTTTCTGAAAAAAAAAAAAGATTTTTTTTTTTCCTGGGAAGGCTTTTCAGCTTTTTTTTTTTTTCCATGGGGTTTATGGCATTAAAAATTGTATTTAAAATGATGAAAAGCTGTATTTAAAATGATGGGCTTAGCTGTAATATACAACATTAAGGTAGGGATTTTCTTGTGGAGTTTTCTCGTGGAATTTGGGTTTCCTTGTGCTCTCTCCAGACAGGTGTGGTGCTGGTTTTAGGGAACAGGAGAAGGGGAGGGGGCTTTGCTGGGAGCCTGAGCCTGGTTTAACTCCTGGGGGGATCCATGGGAAAAGCTGGGCTTTGGTTCTTCTGGAACCCAAGCTTTGCTGAGCCTGAGCCTTTTGGAAGAGCTTTTGGCTCTTTGGTAAATTCCCATTCCAGATGGGCATTGGGAATTTCTCCTTTTCTTGGCACTCATCAATCCAGGAACAGCAGATCCAGAGTGGGAATGTCCTGGGCACTGCTGGATCAATTCTGCTGGGATCAAAGGATCCTGCAGGGCTGGGATCAG